CATTTTAACCATAACAGAACCTCCTTCCTTTCTAACTAGTTCTTAAATTTCTCAGCACAACATATTGAGCTAAATTTATCCTTGGTATGTATCTCCATTGTTGAGATTTGTTTGTGTCCTCCTTTTACCCTGATTACCTTTTATAAAGCTCTTTGTTCTCCTTGTTTTCTCTAAAAGCAGGATACTTTGAAGAAATTAAACCTTTAAAGATCCTATCTGTTTACCAGGAACACTAAAATTCCCTGGGTACTATTCCTAAGTCTAGGGCTTTGCCCCAGTGTACTTAGCCAAAATTTTCCCTCCCCAAAGTTTCGTTCAGTATACTGTATGTGGTTTCCCTTTTTAAAAAACTGGCTGCTGAAGCAGCTAATCTGCAAAACATTCCCTCTTTCCTGGTGATGCAGATTTGCTTTACTGATAAAGCACTCGTGATATGATTAGTGTGTGAGTTAAGTTGGGGAGGGCTCTCTGGGAGCAGGAGCAGCTTTGGTAAGACAGTGCTTCAAATATGCTCCTCAGTGACCATCTCAATATTTTATTTATGGCAGGTCTGTAGACCACCCCCAACACACACACTTTAAGCACTGCATATCATCTTTGTTTCAACAGTATTTCACAGTGCATGCTTCTTCATTACTACTTTTACATTGTTACAGGACAGCAGAATCCAGATTCTGCCTTTTGTTGTTATTAATATATATAATATTCCCCTTGTTACCAGACATACTCCGTATCTAATTTTGTTTCTTTACCTACAGTCATGAACCACCCACCATTTCTCTTGTGCATATTAACTAATTGAGTCTATTTTAATGGATTGGCCCAGTTATTAAACTAAACTCAAGTCCTGGGCTCCTCATTCATTTTTTACTCAGTTATTCCTCAGGCAAACACCCACTGAGTCAGGATTTGAGGCCTCAGCTTCATTGGCTACATGGGCAGTTGTACGTGTGCATCCAGCAGCAGAAGATGACCCAGAGTTCTTAAATATGTCACATTTGATTGAGACTGGTACCACTGCAACTGAGCGGATAAGGAGATATCATGGTATCCTCTTGATAATTTCCCAGTCTTACTCATCAATCTTAACTGTAAACATCAGCCCTAACCTACAGTTTAGCTAGGGTTACCATACGTCCGGATTTTCCCAGACATGTCCGGCTTTTTGGGCCTTAAATCCCCATCCAGGAGGAAATCCCAAAAAGCCGGGCATGTCTGGGAAAATAGGGAGGGAGGGAGGGGCCGGTGGTGCTCGGCCGGGGCCGGGCCGGCGGTGCAGGGGTGCTCGGCCCTTGGGGCCGGGGCCCCAGGGCCCGAGCCGAGCGGGAGATGCCGGGGCTGGGGCCAGAGCCTCTTTGCCTGGGCTGGCCGGCCGCCAGGAGGGCGGGACTGGGCCACGCTGCGCCCTGCCCCTGCCCCAGCCCCAGCCCCAGCTTACCTGCTGCCTCCCTGTTTCAGGCTTCCCGCGAACATTTGATTCGCGGGAAGCAGGGGAGGGGGAGGAGCAGGAGGCGGAGTGTTCAGGGGAGGGGGCAGAGTTGAGGCGGGGAAGGGGCAGAGTTGGGGCGGGGAAGGGGCCCCGTGGAGTGTCCTCCTTTTTTTAAATTAAAATATGGTAACCCTAGTTTAGCTCTATGCCATATCCATATCTATCCTTTATTAACAATGCCTAAAAATTCAACCACCGCACTTCAGCCACATAACTGATTGAGCAGAAACCCTTCAACTATTCTACTATAATACAGTAAAGATATAAGAATCAGAGGCACTGGAACTACTTTAGTATTGAATCATCAGTTTTGTCTACCTGATCTAGTTCATAGATATACCATCAACTAACTTACTGCAGATAAAGATCTACAACCTCCGCCAGAAATCTAAAAAATAGACTCTCTTCCACTTCACTTATTCAGTGACACAAAGGACCACTAACATCAGTGTTTCAGAGAGGCCTTCATGTGTCAATCATTTTTATTTAACATACAGCAGAATTGTTAAAATGAAGTTACTGAAAAATATGTATCCTGTCTCTCCAAATTTAGTACCCAGAGAGAGAGAGAGAGAGAGAGAGAGAGAATGTAACATTGCTTCAGATAATACACTGAGTCAAATCAATGAAAACCTAATTAGCATCCAAAAGAATTTCAGTCAAAAAAAAAAAAAAAAAAAGAAGATTCCTCAGGGTGGCAGTGAAAAGGTGTTAATTAATTTCACCTTTATTTTGAGCCAGAAGTTAATTGAGAGAAGACATGCACGGTTAGGTAACCGTTCCAAGAAGATCTGAAACCAAAGCCATGTGCACAGAAAATGAAGAGATTAATCCACATCCCAAGACAAATACACCTGTGAACTCCATAGTCAATACAGTAATACAAGTATACATCTGGGCCTTGATCCTCCACTATGTCTAAGCTCTGCTCTCTAGTGGAGAGGGGTAGCTGCAGGGATCTGCTTGCAGCTCTCTGCCCTTTGGCTGCATGCCCCAGTGGAAGTTATAGCAGCAAGGGCCCTACTCTAAATTCTGCAACTGGTGTAAACTTTCTAATACGCTATTATCCAGAGGAGGATCAGGCACAGTGGCACTCTGCTCCACCACATCCTGTTGTGCCCCTCCTTCCCCTTACACCCTGGATGGGGCAGCTAACACAGGAGGCAAGACAGCCACCTCGACCAACTTTCTGCAGGTGGAAGCACAGAAGGAATTCTCCACTGGCTATCTCCAGTCATTTAAGACTAGTTTCTGCTGCTTAAACTGCACAAAGTGGTCTTAGTGGAGCAGAGAATCCAGATGTTCATTTTGAGGATATTCTTGTCCATATCAGGTGTAGGCTGTCTGATAAAAATGATCCTAGAGCTCACTTGAGGGTGAGGGTCAGAGGATTTGTCTACACTACAAAAATTACTTATTGCTGACCATAGCCGAATTAATGCAGACAATGGTTCAGCTACCAGAGTAGCAAAGCACAAGCTGGTGTTCTCCTTCATTTCAGTAACCATGATTAAATGAGTAGACCAATGTAAAGGAGAGCAAATTTGGCTCATCTTGTGTTCTTCACATCAAATGCTGTTTCTCCTGTGATACAGCAGGGCCAGGGAGCACTGGGAGAGGGGAGATATATAAGCCCTAGGCTAATTAAGGCGTGATTCCCTGTAGACTAGGAAAGGTTACTACAGGTTAATTGGAGCACCTGTAGTCAATTAAGGCCCTGTCAGGAACCTTATAAAATCCCCTACTTCGGGGGCAGGGAAAGAAGAAGAGAGGACTGGAGCTGTGTTGCTGAGACTTGGCAGACCAGAGACCTAGACCCTGCCCCAGCTAGGCAGAAAGACTCCCTTCCCCAGTGTCAAGGACTGAGGATAATTCTACCCAAGGGGTAAGAAACCTGCAGGGGTTGAGAGGTACTATGGCTCAGAGTGAGGGGCAAACCAGACTGCTTCCCTCCTACCATCTTCCTGGGTCCTAGGGCCAGCTTTAGGCACTGCGGGGCCCGATTCAAAAGATCTGCTGCTGAAGACAGTGGTGGGACTTCAGCGGCAGCTCAATTGGCTGCCGGTGCCTTTGGCAGCACAGGGTCCTTCTTCCGTAGCAGTGATTGAGCTGCCGCCGAAGTCCTGCTGCTGTCTTTGGCGGCAGCTCGATTGGCTGCCGGTGCCTTTGGCAGCATGTCAGTGAAGGGTCCTTAGGGACGGTGCAAGGCCCTCTTAGGGTGAATTGCCCTAAAGCTAGCCCTGCTAGGCCCCTAACAGGGCCCAGGGTGCCCCAAGAGCAGGGGCAAGGGGCAGTGTCCTAGCCCCCCCCACCACCAAGAAAAGCATAGGACCCAACATTGGCCATTTTGTCACATTCCTTACATTTACATGAGCTAAATTCAAAGGGAAGTTAAGCCTTCAGTTAAGGGGGAAATGGTCTACATGGGGTTGTACAGTAGATAAGGCCACATGCAATTTTAATCCTGGCCTTTCTTAACTTTTTGCAAAATGCTTGCTTTTGCAATCTCAATGTTCTATTAATGTAGTCTTTTGTATATAACAATGCATAAAGCAAACAGTGTTGCTACTATGATGTAGCCTGACTGTATTCTCTGTCTTAGTATATGCAACTGGTTCTTGTCTCTTTGGGTGTCTCTCTGCTACAGAGTTAGCCTGGGTATGAGCAGTCATACTGCAAAGTCATACCCAAATTACTGTTTTCCTCACTAGTGCTGTGCTCAACAGTGTGTGTTGCTAAGGTTCTGGGGGCATAACCCATGGTTCTTTGTGATTAACTCAAGTTCTTTCATGGTGAACTCTGAGAACCTGTCAGTCCTTCTGGGCAGAAAGTGGAAATTGTGGGAAGGCACTGGAGGAATATCTACTAGCTAAATCACTCAATGGCTTACTCAGTGAAAAGTGGACAGGTTACCAGCCTGAGCAAAGGCAGAAGCCAGGCTCTAACCCTTATCCTGAGCAGTGTCTGCTAGCCCAGATTGAAAGCACCACCTAACTCAGGTGAGAGGTTTTTGTGTGTGCATGGGGGGAGGAGAGGTTGGGGGAGCACTTGCATAAGCGCCTATACTAACTCTACAAGGAAGACATGTGAGAGCCTGGGACTCAACAGGGGTTGTAGCACTGCATAGTGTCTGTAGGAAATGGGGTACCGTTAAACTACAGCAGGAAGTTTAAGCCTTTCTGACACTGTACTTGGGAGGCTGAGAATATCATCCTAGTTTAAATACTTCTCAAAGTGATATTAAAATCATTTTATGGATTAACAGTTGACAGACTTGATTAGATCCTTGTTTACATTTGTTTTTGAATGGAGTGATTATTTATGTCTCCATAAATCTGTGCTATCAGTCAGGGAAGTGATCAGTGATACACATTCAGTAGCACCCACAACCATCACACCTCCAGAACAGAAAATTTTCAATATACTACAGGAAGAAAACCACTAATACAAAAAAAGCAAGCATTTTTTCTCAGAGAACAAAAGCAATGGAATATAAAACCTTATCTCCTACCTCTGCTCGACCTTCATAGTATGTCAACATTGATTCCGTAAGCACGAAAAGCCTTTCTTTGTAATTTAAGGGAGAAGTCCTTTTCTTCTGTTGTGATCTTTTAATCAGAATCTCCTCTAAGATAGGGTTCATATTCATTTCGGCCACTTGATATCTAGATTTCCAGCCATTGAATATCAAATCCTGTAAAGAGAGAGGGGGGTTGGGGGGGGGGGAAGAGAGCTTTACTATACTAGATTAGATTTTTGGGTGGAAAAACAGGCCTATAGATAGCCAAGGACTGTTTGTATTGTTCCATTGAAAAGGGAAGGTGCTCTTAAGCAAAGCTACCTGAAAACTTTGGAAAATATAACTCAGATCCAACATCCTGGAAATTAACACAAGCTAACTATTTGAACATTCCTGTCTAACACTGCTGAACTGAGGGCTACATTGGCATGTTGCCAGGAGACTGAGGGCTGTACCTGACTGAGGAAAAAATTAAATTCATTGCTGCACCCCTCATCTTGTGTAAGGATACTCTATTTTGATCCATGTAGTATCACATGCTTAGATCTACAGTCTCCATGAGACAACTCCATATTCACTGAGCATAGGCATGAGTTTTACTTGAACAGTCTCTGATGTATAGTCCAAGTTTTTAATCAGCCAAAACTGGTGTAAGAGATCATATGCACAGGATTGGTGTGTGCTAGAGGCCTTACTGATATTTGTCATCTCTAAATAACTTGCCATAAACCTTGAGAAATATTTCAGATAAATAGCCATTTAAAACTGTTGCACAATAAGAAGTCTATATGAATAACTTCCTTCCTACTGTAAGGCTGATCATGACCGTTTCAGCTGTTGGAAAACTTTCATGCTCATAACTTTATTTTTATAACTCTCTCATGGTTCATATTACTTTTTTTAATAGATGTCGTGAGTTTAACACAAAACTATTGTTTAAAACCAAGTAAGAGGCGGGAATTCAAGATAGGGATACAAAGCAAAAGAAAAGGGGTACAATCTGTACCAATTTGTTCTGACATTTATTTTTAGATACACTGTCTACAAAAGGCCTCCATTTGTGCACATGTGATTTTTGCATATAACTTGTATGCATAAATGGTAATACAAAAACTGAATATGCATCATGTTTTGAAAATTCACCTCAAATTATATTGGACAAGATTTTCAGAAATGATTAGTGATTTGGGGTTTGTAGCAGGGTGGTTACCCGGCTCCTTCCGGGAAGGGCTTAAAGCAGCCCTGACAAAGGGCTGCAGCTCTAAAAGCTGGGCTGATTGGGGAAGTAGCCACACCTGTGGCTACTTCCCCAATCAGGCCACAGCTGGCCTGTATAAAAAGGCTGGGCACCAGAGGCCAAAAAGTCTCTCTGCACTGAGAGAGAGAGAAGGGCCTGGCTGCAGGGAGCTAAGACAGAGTACCTGAGTGGAGCAGGGCTGGGGAATGGCTGGGGAGCTCCAGCCTGGAAAGCCCCAGGCTGTGGCCTAGTATTAGGCCAAGAGGTATTGGGGGTTGCAGAGGGCAGCCCAGGGCTAGGCCACGGCAGCAGGTCCAAACACCTCTTGCCAGTGATGAGTGGTTTATACTGCAGTCTGCCCTAGGGAGTGGGGGCTAGTTGGTGACTGGCAGTGGCCTAGTACTGAGGCAAGGTGGGGATAGTGGGTGGGGGTTCACAAGGGAGGGGAGACCCAGATCTGTGGGGTACTGCCAGGGGGCAGCATCCCAATAATAGGGGCACTGGGTCCTGGGAGGGATACGGGGGCCAGAAGAGGACAGATGATCACTGGCCTGCAGAGGGTGTTCCAGATGCTGGATGAGCTGATTCCCCAAAGCAACCAATAGGGGGTGCTGCAGGGGTGAATCCACACCTTTACAGGGTACTTCAATTTTTGGGTGTCTAACCTTAAAGTGCCAAGTACCTGGTTCTTGTAATCAGGCCCCTTTAAAAAAAATGCCTCGAATTGGGCACCTAACAATTAAGGCACTCAGAATTACTAGTCACCTTTGAAAATCCTGGTCGGTGAACTCAGTCTTTATGTAGATATCAGACCTGTTTGCTAGTCTTGCCACTGTAATTGATACCAGTCAGATGGAGTTGAGACATTGAGGCCCCAACTTTCAGAGATATTGAACACTCAAGTTGAGCACCCCAAAGCTAAAGCACCCAATATTAGTGGACATGTTTGAAAATTTGGGCCAAAGTGTCTTGTGAAGACTAAGATTGAAAATGAGCTCTCACATGAGGCACTAGTGACTGGAAATGTCAAAGTTTGGAAAAAACAAGCTCTAGGCAAATACCAAAAGTTCCCCAAATCAACAAGTGAGAATTTTTCCCTTCCACCTATTAAACTGGTGTCTTAACCTTTCTAAAGGTTCTAATTTATGCTCTTATTCCTCATGTGCCTGGAGGCAAAGGCCTTCCCATTAATAAGAAAGGGAATTCAGTGTCAAAGTCCATTAGCACATCATTGCACAATTGAATGTTTCAAAATTCATTCAGGAAATGTATGTTTGTCCTTCTAAATTCTTGGTAGACTATACAGATATAGCATGGATAAAATGACCACTCTCAATACTGTACTAAAAATATTCAAAAGCTACAAATCCTCAATTACATTATAATGAATTTTAAATAAAATTTGTGTGCTTTCTATGTCACTGCCCACTTCACCTTCTTTTGCTTTAGTCTCCATCTAGACCCAAATGTTAATACCTTTTTAAAAATTGTTTAATGTTACATTTACGGTGACAGCAAGTGAAATTATAACCATCACCTCTTCTACTAGTCTGGTCCTTCACTGAGTGTCCCTTGTTTGTGCTACCTGCTCTTACCCCCCCCCCATACAGCTACCTGTTCACCTGCACAGAGATAGATTTGCTCACAGCAGCTATCCCATCCTCTCAAAGTACTGCATATTTGTGCATTGACTATAAAATTAGTCCAGGGTTTACATGTAAATTTAAAAGCTATGAAAAGTTAGAAATCATCTAGAAGATAAAAGTTGAAGTGATAATTGTATATTAAACATATAGCTGACTAAAGAGTGACAAGAACTTTCTCCCCCTCATGCATGCACAGGCATATATACACTTCATTTTGCTGATCATTTGATCAAACTGCTTTCCTGTGGTGATGAAAGATTGTTATAGCTAGTACTCTTATCTGCTCACATCACTTACTCAGGCACCAAATTTGGGGATCAGTTTGACACTTTTTTTTTAAAAAAAAGATCAGGCATAGAGTTGATAGGGGAAGGATAGGTAAGAAAATACAAATTCTTCAATGATTTAAAAAAAAAAACAGTGACTGCAGTCCATCTTAAAATATTCCTGTCTAATTTCTTCCTCTCCTTCCCAATTTCAGTCTCTCACCTCCACTGTGTTGTCTGTTAAACCAATTGCTGTTCCAGATGGCAGCAGGTAAGTGATACCAATCAATATTTGCCTCAGTTTGTAATCCCATAATTCTAGTCTGATTTTAAATGCTTAAAATGTACAGAGGCAGGTAAGACTAAAGCAAAACTGGGATTTCAAAACTGGTGATTCTAGAAAAATCTCACTTCATTGCTAGCCATCACTAAATTAAGGTAGTCCTAAACCACACAATACTTTTGATGAAGACAAAGCATTTTTTAAAAATCAGTCACTGTCAACACTGTGGAAACACAATACCTGGTTGCTAGTGGTGGTTATTTACATAACACTTAAATGCACACCCCTATAATTAGGAACCAACTCCCCATTTCACATAATTCTAACATTACTATTTGAGGAGTTTAGCAGGATCTACTGCAGAAACTTTTGCTGATTACATAATACATTTTTCAGGCAGCAGGGGCTTTTTATCCACAACTTCGACTATTAAAAATGAGTCAACATAACTAAACCCGCACACATTGTTCTGAAACTTTCCTTTTCAGAATAATTCTAGTTCTTAGAGTCCAACACAATCTAACTTGCCTGTAAGGAACCAAAATATCAATATCTGTGCTTCATCACTACAGGTTTTGATTTGTCCTTCTGCAACTTCCTCCAAGCATTCTACTACTTAATAAATCATTATTTAGAAACTGAAACTGCCTTCCATTGACACATCACTCATCTTGTTCCAGCCAGTTGTGAGTTTCAGGTTGCCATCCTTCCAGATTTTCACAATACCTGTTGTCCAGGATCTGCCCCAGTTCTTGCAGGCCTATCTCACATGGTAGCAATTAGATTATAATTTGCAGAGTGGGTGAGTACCCACAGCTACTATGGGAGCTGCAGTGATCAGCACTTCTGAAAAATCAAGCCATTAATACCTTCCAACTTTATTTTAGGTGTCAGAACTTTGTCAATATGCAATGAGTCAACTTTACATGAGGCAGACATGCAAGTGTACTGGCATAGCATCATAACATGCTTATTTGGTTCCTCATAACAAATACCACTAGGTAGTGTCATGTTATGAGTCAGAAGTAGAGCTGGTCCTGGAACCCAGATCTCCTACTCCAGTTCCCAATCACTGAATTGTAGTCTCTCATTGAAACAATTATTCTCTGTAAGCTTGGTGATGAAATTTAAAACATTCATACCAACTGAAGAAATGTTTTCCAGTTTTAATGTTGCGCTTGATAGGGATAAGCATTTCAGAGTGGCTGTTCCAATAAATGGCAAGGGGATAAGGCATCCAAATCTGGCCTGCACCTTTTTACATCTAAATGTCCTACTGGATTTTCACTTCTTGATGAACCATACAGATGTTTGTGCATGATTAAGTCTGACAGAATGGTTTAGAAAAACAGTGGAAATAAGCCTTTCACCAACAATCTCAAATGTTAGCAGAAATGTTTGCCACAAATCTAAATGTAATTGGCTAGAATAGCAAAATAAAACCCAACTCAAAACTATTTTCCAAGTTTAGTTCTCCACCTCCATCTTGGGTATGATAACACTTACCTGGTAATTAATGTTCTGTGGCACAAAGCCATTATGCTTAACTGATGGGCTCCCATACAGAAACTTTTTTTAATATCTCCTCCTTCCATCCTGCACAACTGCTCTTCTCCAAGCTTTGCTTTGCCAGAGTCAGATAAATAAATTGCTTGAAAGTCCGATCAGTCTGGGACTGCTATTGGTTCGGTGCTGTTAACAGGCTAAATAGTAGATTTAGTAATTTATGTAAACTTCCCTGC